TGTTTTATTAACGTATTACATGTAAGACATAATGTCTGGCTACCTAACAGTGACATTTTGTATTCGCTATGTTGCAATGAGTCTATTTTGGATCCAAGTAGCGAATATGGAACAATCCATTTGTTGTCGACCATACAATCATTTCCTTTTACTTTTACTGTAGTAGTTCTACCGTTATCATCCGGTGAGTTATAAACAAAAAAGCATACAAATGTTGCAGTTTAAACAAAAACATTAATATACTGTTATCAGGTAACAATTTTTGAAACCGTGTAAAGTAAGGCATATATAAGAGCTTATTATTAAAGTATTTAAATTATAATATTAACAATTTATTTATTTAAAATATTTCATAATTAAAAAAAAATTGAACAAAGTAGACGGTTTAGGGTTGATTTTGTTCAGCGTACCACCATTCACTGATATGCACATTTCTGCCTCTTGGCTTTATTAGAGCGAACTCCGATTTACATTCTCAAACAAATTTGATTATAAATAATTAACTGGAATTTGTTTTATCTTTTTCTTCAAGTGCCATCTCCGCGGCGGAGGTCGGCAATCATCATAGCTTTCGGACTTTTGAGACTGTTCAAGGCTGCTACTTAATGTACATCCGTATCACTCTCTCACTCTCTCAGGTTGCGCAGCCATGATATTCTACGTCTCCCTATGCTTCTCTTTCCTTGGATCTTTCCCTGAATAATCAGTTGGAGCAAGGTGTATTTCTATCCGCGTGTAATTTGTCCGAGATATTCTAATTTTCTTGTTTTAATTGAATTTAAAATTTCTATTTCTTTATTAATTTTTCTCAGAACCTCTTTGTTTATGACGTGTTCTGTCCACGATATTTTCAGAATTCTTTTATATAGCCACAGTTCGAATGATGTTTTTTCATTGATGTCGCATTCAAGGTACAAGATTCCATTCCATTACAAAGTCGAAAAAACATAGCACTTCGCCAACCTAACTCTTCCAATTTTAAATCCCTTGTACATAGCATTCTTCTCATTTTGTTGAAAGATTAAAATATATCATTACGGTTTTTACAACAATATTTTAAGTTACTACGCGAATCTTTTTGTACATATTTGTTTTTACATAAATGTATGTTTCACTAAAAGATAAATAATACATATACATAAAAATAGTTTCACTAGTTAACTATTTTTTATTTAATGTATAGTATACAGCCTTTTTCGTTGTGATGTTTTGATTGTAGTATAGCAGCCTGTATATTAAAATTGGCTACAAATCCAAACTATTTATTGGACAATAAATTACTATGTCACCATTTCCAAACCCATGTGGATCTACGAAATACAAATTTAGGCACACAGAAATTCTAACATTAAATCCTTTCAAGATTTCTAGACAAAGTATTACGTGGTATTACCCTTGTTGATGCACAGTACTATATCCACAATAGGATCATTTTAGACATCATAAATGTGGAATCGATCAGGAAATTATTTACCAAGATCTTAACGTATTATTCAAATGTCAAAATGTGCTCGTCGCAACAGCGAAGTATTTATACTTATCTTTATCACAGAATAATCCAGGATTTTTTCTCCTTCAAGAACTATATTTTTTATTTATGCGCATACTAATTCAGCCTCTGGGTATGAAAATATGAAATATCATGATATGCCATTTATCCTATATAGCAAAAGATTTTTCTGGTAATTTTTAATAATATGATACGTCTTATTTGGAAAAAGTGATTATTGCTCCTATTGTAAAACTAGGGAAGACTCAAATTTGGCCAACAATATCACCCATTTTATTGCTTATCATGTATCCTGAACATTCTGAAGCGAATGCTGCAGTTACGATTGGAATGGACGCTGTCAGCACAAAATCAATTACCACGTAATCAATTTGTTTTAAGTTTCAGTATATTTTTGAACTTCTATAATAACTAATGTACAACTAAATCTTTACAAAAATGAGTATACAGCTACCATTTTTGAAAATCGCTGATTTAAATGAAGTCTTAAATTTATTATTGTCCATTTAGTTTCATTCAATATGCGGATGATTTTGGGCGTGTACGAACTCATCACTCAACCTCATAAAATTATTAGACCCTCCGCGATATAGAAAACTGATCATCGGCATCCTTTGGAGACCCGTATATTCATCATCAGCATTTTTGCCTTAAGACACTGGTTTTCAGAGCGGGAGGTTGTCAGTTACCTGTTACATTCTTTGTTTACGTGTTAATCTCCTAAATTCATAAATTATTTTAATGTGAATTGTCTTAAAATTTAACGGATATATTTATTTATATCGGGTGTCTACGGTAAGTGGCCTATTAAAACTATTCAAGGTAATCAATGAGCAATTCACTATCAATGTTAAAGTAACAAGGGCAAATGAAGAGAAACTTTTCTTTTCGCATAGTTTTAGGTAGATATCAATAGAACTTAGTAGAATTTCCAAACACCAGCCAATGGTGTTCCAATGGGAATTCCCAAAACCTTGGCAGTTTGCAACTATTTTATGGTCTTTACTTGCTACTGACTGATCAGTTATCCCTGCAAATCTCTCCGGGTCTATTTTAAAATCCGCAGTTTTATTGCGGTGATAAGTTTGTACTATCTATGAAGGCATTTATGCTAATTATTGATAAGTTTACGTGTACTTATGATTTTTGTGTTTATCAACATAGGCAAATTTTGTTGATATATTAGCAATAGTGAATGGGAATTTGAAGATACGTCACTACACAATGGATTCCAATTTGACGATAATTTTTAATTAAAAAATTAATCAATAAAAAATTTAAAAACTCCGTAATTTAAATATCTATTATATGACTGACCGATATAACAAGAGATTATTTTTTTAAATAGTTAGAAAAACTTACTTTGGTGTATATATTTAGTTAATGAATAATGAACATACAGATCAGCTAGATAAATTAAGTACAGAAGTAAAATAAGCTGCTGATATTTATGAGCATTTTGTCAATGAGTTTTTCGTAATTTTTAAAGCTCAGCAACATTGCAATTGGACTGATAAAGGAAATGATTTCTCTTTTAATAATCCGTCGAGGTCTCATACACTTCTTCAACTATGTATGCCAAAGACATATTGATATGCCAGTGCTAATGTATCTCGAATATATTACTATTAAAATTATACGATTAAAGTCGCTTGCTAGAGATACTTGTTCCTCAATTTATTTCTCATTTCGCAATTCCTCAACATGACGTATACTAAATAAAGATTATTCCAAATGGAAATTTTGAGATTCGTTGGATCGTTGGTAATTTGGACCATATCGTTACTGAGTGTGTAAAGTATGTCAATTTATAATAAGCCAAACATATATGATGTTCCAATAATGTTTCTGGCGAAAACTATTGCGTAATTTTCATTTTATCCTTTTATTTAATGTAGTACCTTTAGAAGACCTAATTTTAGTTTGTCTAAGAAATGTCCTAGCGGGCGTCTGCACTAGAAGCTAGTAACCTAGTTTTTTTGCATTATTCATTATTTTCATATCTTTTTATGTTTTATCTTACTCTTAAATTGATTGTAGTTAATCTTTAGTAACTGGCTCAGTAATCAACGATTCAAACCAAAATAATAAAAGTTCTGCTTCCACGTTTTTTAGTGCAATTTATTTAATTTAACTAACTTTAACTTTGTGTTCCAGTATACAAAAACAAATCTTTTCTTTTGTCCTCGTTTGGATTTATTTTGGACCTGAAATTGCAATTTAAATTATTATAAATATATTGTTGATGTTTATATATAAATTCTATTTAAGCATGGTGTCTACTGTATTTATACTTCCCTACATATGCGTCTATTTGAATAGACATAAGTCCAGTGTCAGTAATCGGCCAAATTACAAGATAGATCGTTTTTCGATAGCCCTTAGTCCTATTCAAACACTCTTTTGTGGGCAAGCCAAATCTGATTCCTCTTTTGTTCTCTTTCGTTGACCGCACAATAGCCCTAACAAGCACTTCACTTCAAAAACTGCCACACTTTATGATTTTGCAAATATTTGAAGGGGATGACAACAAAAATCCACGTCTCCGTTTATGGTAGTACAGTTTATCGATGGTAATTTATATGTGTGTATGTACAAATGAACTACCAAGTTGGATGGAAACGGCATCTGAATAGCTGTTTATTACCTTAACAAATATTTATGATATGTAAATGGCGTATTTGATGATACAGGGTGTTTAACAACAATGGTCAAGTTTAGAAATATTATTCTACAAAAGAAATGGATAGTATTTTAGGAAAGCTTTAATAAATATAAAAGCAATAGTAGAAAGGGGCAGTATGTATTTATTCTATACTAGATGATACATTATCATCAACTTACGGTAATATTTTAATCTAAAGCAATTAAGAAATGTTTCTAATAACTTTCTATCAAACAACTTTATCATTGTTTTACTTAATAAACAAATTTATTTAGTATACCATTATTTTTAGTTTTACTGACATACGGTATAATGGCCTGAGAATAATTTAACTCACAGAAAAATAGTAGAGATTGCTTAAAATAAATATAACGTCCAGTGGGGCTGTAACTGAAAAATTTCGTTAAACTGATAGTATATCGTATTCTTCCGAGCTTGTGTAGAGGAGAGAGTTCTAAATGAAGTAGGGGCTCTTCTGTATAGGTATACCGGCCAGATGCGAGAGTTCGAGAATTTCGTCTCGTCTGGTCTCGAATTCGAGACGAGATCGATACAAGACTTTTTTATTATGTTTTAAAAAGACAGCTTTTTGAAGACAAAGAGAGAACAGAAGTACCAAAAGAATTTAAAGATTATACTGGGTCTGACATTATTTCTTCTTCTTTCAGTACCCTGTCCGATTATCGAACGTTGGCGATCATATTGGCAATATTAACTTTATTTACGGCGGCTCTAAATAAATTAGCGGTGGTCTCTTGATACCATTCTCGGAGATTTCGGAGCCAGGATGTTCTTCGTCGGCCTGGGCCTCTCCTTCCGGTAATCTTACCCTGTATTGTGAGGTGTAGAAAGTTATACCTCTCTGGATGTCTCACTACATGACCGAAATATTATACCTTTCGAATTTTTATCGTTTTTGTTATTTCTGTGCTCTTTTTCATTCGAGGTAAAAATATTTCATTTCAAATTCGATCAATCCAACTTATCCATCCGCAATACCCGTCGATAAATACACATCTCAAAGCCCTCTAATTTTTTATTAATGTCTCTGTAAGGGTCCAGCTTTTCATACCATACAGCAATGTGGAGAATTTATAGCAGCGTATTAATCTGATTTTAAGGTTTAACGTAATATCGCTATTAATTAGAATTTTGTTTAATTTATAGAAGGTGGCTCTGGCTTTTTTAATGCGTATTCTTACTTCTTTATTTATATCCCAGTTATCGTTAACGTTTGCACCCAAGTAGGTAATATTGTGGACTCTTTCTAGCTCTATTCCATACGCTCTGATATTTGTTGGTTGTAACTCCGTTTTGCTGACAACCATAAGTTTTGTCTTAGAAGTATGAAGTTTTAGCCCATATTCAGCACATGCTTCGGTTGCCCTGTTTATAAGTCGTTGCAGGTCTTCTTCATTGGAGGCAATAAGTACCGTGTTGTCTGCATATCTGAGATTGTTGACATTAATTCTAATGCTTCTTTAAAAATACATCATTGCCTCACTTCACATCGTATTTCCACTGCTTCCGTTGTGTTGTGTCCAGCTCGTATGTTTTCACATTGATGCCAATACAAATTTTTAATAATACAGAGATCTCGGTCATCAATTCCTACCTGTTGCAAGATACCTATAGGTTTTCGGTGGTCAAAGGCCTTTTCGAAGTCGACTAAACACATATATACTGATTGTTCTATATCACTACATCTTTGAACCATGACCTGCAAACTGAAGAGTGCTTCTCTGGTTTCAAGGTTGTTTCCGAAAACAAATTGTGTTTCACTTAGTTGTACTTCTATTTTGTTGTAAATTCTCGAGTGCAGTATTTTTTTAAAAATTTTCAGTACATGACTTATCAGACTGATAGTGCGATGATTGCTACACTGTTTTGCATTTATTTTTTCGGTATCATTACAAATGTTGACAGTGGCCTATGTGTTGGTATATGTCCTGTTTCGTATATTTTATTAAAGATGCTTAGAAGAGAATGTTTGCGCTTATCGTCGAGCAGTTTGATTATTTTGCTTGGAATTTCATCTGGACCGGTTGCTTTCCTATTATTTGATAGCTTTATAGCTCTTTCAATATCATCGAGTGTTATGTTTGGACCAGTCGATATATTTTTGATTTGAATTTCTGTTCTATCGTCATCAAACAGCTCCTTATTATATTTTTTCCACCTCTCTAATCTGTCTTGTTCATTGACTATAATATTTCTTTGTTTATCAAGTAAACTATTTGCAGTTGATCTATATAGTCCAGTTATTTCTTTCACCTTTTTAAACATATTAAACGTGTCATTCTTTTTCTGCAGTTCTTCTATTTCAAGAGATTTGTTGCTGTACCATTTTTCCTTTGCATCCTGAATTTTCGTTCTGATTTCTTTATTAGTTTTATTGTATTCTTCAGTGTTTTATTTTTCTGTTTTCGCCTACTTTCCATTAGTCCCAATATTTCATCAGTCATCCATTGTTGTTTGCGATTATTCATAGTTTTATACTTTTTAGTTGTTTCTTGCATAATGCTTTTGACATTATTCCACTGGTCTTCGACGTTATGTGTTTCTTTCGATTTTTCGAACTTCTTTTTTATCTCTTGTGTAATTTCATGACTATTATTTTGAATACCTACAGTCAGTGTTTATTCGGTTAGTCGGTTGTTGGCGTTTTACTATTTTGGCGTTTGTTAGCGTTTTAGTTACTTTGATTGAATTTCGGTACCTCTCGTTAATTGTTATATAATCGATCTGATTTCTTATGATATTTTCGTTAGTATCTGCTGCTGACTTCGAAGCATTTAACTGACGCTTGGGTAGTTTGAATAATGTATTTGTCACACAAATAATGTTCTCTACGCAGAATTCTACAAAACGGTCTCTTCTGTCATTACGTTGTCCAACCTTTTCCTACTTTGGCATTGAAATCCCCCATTATTATAGTACTGTCTTTGTTTTTCAGTTGACTCATTATCTTAACCAAAAACTCATTAATCATTTCCTATAGTAGGTAAAATAAAAATTAATGCATAATATGTTTCTAACCAATATTAAAGGAAGTTCCTTTGTACTCTTATTTAAATAAAAATACTGACAGTGAAGTTATTTAAAAATTTTGAGTTAACACTGTATTGCTCTAAGCAAAATGTTCGAAATGAAATATTATTTTTAGTTCTGACATTATTTATGAAATATTTTGTGTTACTACAATTTGATTAACTAGTTTTTTCTGCGGTTTACGTTACTTTTTGGACTTACAACAATTTTGCGAACTGATTCTTGGCATATGTTGACATTGGATTTAAAGAGATTGTATTAAACATTAACAATTACCGAGAATTGTTGTGTTACATATTAATAAATAAATCAAGACTGTTTATAATTACGTTTATATTATAATCAAACAAATTCAGATACAGATAATAAAATACTGTATTCTTGAACATTTTGTACTTAATCTATATATTTAACAAAATATATATTTAACAAAATAGACCTTCCAAAAAAAGAATACAAAATCTATTCATTCGTAGTCAATTAAAAGAGCATACTTAAAAAATTTAATTATTTAAACTTAGTTTAAATCAGTCTAAAAATCAATTATTACTGATAACAATTTTAATTTTTAATTGGTCAAATCCTTATAGTAAGTTTTACGATAACTCCTGGGTATTACATTCTTGTCAAGTATGTTCCTTTTCTTATTTTGGGTTAAAGGTATTGGGTATTACATTTTGTCAAGTAATTACTTTAAGTCCCTTTGCTTATTTTGAGTTAAAGGTATCTTGCTTGTGTACTCTCGTGTCAAACCATTAGAATATAACGAAGTCTGGTTTTCAGTTCCTCGTAAGCAACGTACGAAAACTTTCTGGTAATCTTCATCTTCGTAAGAGTTCTTATAAAAGAAAGTAAATGGATGTTCGTTTTACCACGAAACACTATTCTTAAAGTAATTTCAGATTGAAAAATTTTTCATTAGTCATATCAGTCATGCTATACGGTTTGCCTGTCTTTTTAGCCGTCTGAAATAATGTCATATATTGTTGTGCGACATACCCTAGACCAAATTTTACAAAACGCTTTACTTGCTTTTCTATGACGCTATGCACATTGTTACCCTCGTTTTGAGAGTGACCGCGAATCAGAAATTTGTGGGTTATGCTTTTGACATTTATTTTCTGTACTGCATACGCATATGCTGTAAGGATGTGTTTATTTTTTTGCTGCTAGTTCAGTTCTCTACCAGAAGTAGCCTGTATAATTGTTTCTATATATTACACAGTACAACTCCCAATCCCATTCGCTGTTTCACTGTTTAGGTCAATTTTTTGAAGCGCTTGATGACTCGTAAATGGTGAAGGTATAGGTGATGGTTGTACTTTCGCAACGTCACTGTTTTTTATTTTGGGCACCAGGTTTATTATTTGTACTCTCCAGTGACAATACCGACGTTGAAGAGAGTTCCTGCTCGCAATCCTCAGCATTTGTTATTATAACAAGTAATCGCCCACGACTCAGGTATTAAACCTAAAAATAAATCAAGTAATTTTATTAGATTAAGCTATCAGCCCGAATGATTATTTTACAGCTGTATGCGTCCCCATTTGATTTGAACATAATACAGATATACGCACCTACAGCTGACAAAGAGGAAACAATAATGGAAGACTTTTACGAACAACTAGAAATCTTAATTAATGCAACCAAAAAGATTGAAATAACACTTATAATGGGAGATTTCAACGCGAAAGTAGGACGAGGCAAAACAGGAAAGGTAGTGGGAAATTTCGGACTTGGTGAAAGAAACGAAAGAGGAGATCGTCTAGTTCAATTTTGCCAAGAACACAACCTAGTACTTACTAACACTCTCTTTAAGCTCCCGCACCGTAGGCTCTATACCTGGAAATCACCGGCAGACTCACCTAGTAAAATAATCAGTAATCAAATAGATTATATCGCTGCACCAGTCAGGTTTAGAAACTCACATCAAAGCCGTAAAAACTTACCCGGGTGCGGACGTAGCATCAGACCACAACCCGGTGGTATGTAAATTTGAAGTAAAGTTAAAAAAGCCAAATGTAAAGAACAGGCCCGAAACGCTAGATATTAGGAAGCTTTCCAACAATAATATTAAACAACAGATGCAGGAGAATTTAAATACCGAAATATCAAAAATCCTTAAAAATAACAATGAACCGCTGAAAAAGTGGAGTGAAATTAAAGAAGAGATTAGGACTTCAAGCACTAAGTTTTTACTAACTGATAAGAGAAAAAAGAAAGACTGGATGACTGCAGAAATCCTTGACATGATGGAAGAGAGACGGATATATAAAACTAAAGATACTGCCAAATACCGTGAAACCCATAGACGAATAAGAGCCGAGATAAGAAAAACTAAAGAGAAATGTTTCTCGAAGAGATGCGAAGAAATCGAACAGTGCGAAAAGGTATACGACTATCACAATATGCATAAGAAGAAAAAGGAACTCACAACAAAGAAAAGCTACAATATTTTATCGAAAGGGCTGTGCGATGATAATGGAAATCTACAACTAGACCCCGACAAAATAGTTAGAATCTGGGAAACTTATGTGGAACAACTGTTTAATGATGACCGTCTTAGTGGGTGTACACTGAGCAATGATGATACTGGCCCTTCTATTCTAAAATTAGAAGTGGAGAAAGCTATAAAGGGTCTTAAAAATAACAAAAGACCAGGCAACGATAACGTATACGGGGAAATATTGAAAATGCTGTGCGAAACAAACAGTCAATTTCTAGACTCACTCGTCAGACTAACAATATTTATAACAGCGGGGAGTTTCCTAAAGACTGGCTAAAGTCAACTTTTGTTGCCATACCGAAAAAACCAAAAGCAAAGTCTTGTGATCAACATCGGATGATAAGTCTAATCAACCACATTTCGAAGGCATACACCAAGGTTATTTACAACAGAATAAGCAAAAAATACGAAGATAACATTGGAGATTCGCAGTTTGGGTTTCGGAATTCTCTTGGGACAAAAGAAGCACTTTTTACAGGTACTCATCCAGCGCTGCAGAGATATGAACAAAGACGTGTACATATGCTTTATAGACTACGCAAAAGCATTCGATTACGTAAAGCACGAAAAGATAATTGAAGTTCTCCATAAGATCGGAGTCGACTACAGAGACATTCGAACAATACCCAGTCTCTATTGGGATCAAACGGCTAAAGTGAAAGTAGGATCTACATTGACCAATAAAATTGAGATCAAGAAAGGGGCACGACAGGCCTGTATCTTGTCTCCGTTTCTCTTAATATATACTCAGAAGAAGTATTTAAGACAGCGCTGGAGGAAAGCACAGAAGGCATAAAGATAAATGGAGAAATAATTAATAACATAAGGTATGCTGAT